GTTTTATATTTAGACAAAAGTATTTACCTTATTTTCTTTCCCTCTTCTTCACGGTGTAGAAGTAGATAGTAATCTTTCTATAACTGGCTTAAAAACGTGAATGTATGTATGTATGTATGTATGTATGTATGTATGTATGTATGTATGTATGTATGTATGTATGTATGTATGTATGTATGTATGTATGTATTTATGTATGTATGTGTGTAGTAGTAGTATGTATGTATCGGCAAGTATGTGTTTTTCTGTGTTTATAAGCTTGTGGTTAGCTCCTATATTTTCTTGTTTGTTTATATAAATCTGTGTAAGTGCAGAACAAAATGAAAGTATGTACGTGCGTATGTGAAGATGTATATTCGTGTGTGTGTGTGTTTCTATGTGCGTCTCAGTGTATATATTACTCAAATGACTGTTTATATTATGTATCCGTTTCCAATATATGTGAGATAGAGTAGTAGTAGTAGTAGTTGTTGTTGTTTTTGTTGTTGTTGTTGAAGTTGTAGTAGTAGTAGCAGTAGATTTTGAAATATGAACGGTTTAAATATCTCGAAATATATTATCGGTTCAAAATTTGGATTTGTAGTTCTATCATTGTCATAATCTACGTCTGCAGCTGTAGTAGCGGTGGCTGTGGTAGTAGAAGCAGTAGTGGCGACAGTAGCAGCTGTTGTAGTCGCTGTCTTATCGATAGTAGTAACTCCGAAGTCGGTGTGTAAATCTAAGGAGGCATTGAGCGATCGAGTATTCGAATATTCGAACACAGCAGAGAACATTTATAAATCTGTAGCATCCAATATATGGCAACAATAATAATAACGACAAATATTATTATTATTATTATTATTATTACAAATTATAATTGTTATTATTATAATTACGAATTATAATATTTTTTTATTATGAATTATCATTATAGATATAAATATACATCGGTTTATCATCTTTTATTTGAAATTATGGGCAAATATAGCTAATTATTTCCAATAAATTCATTCATTTATGATACTACCATGATACTGGCATGATAGTATATCATATATATCATTATTTATGTTTCAACGGGCTTCAGGTTGTATCCATTAGGTGTTAGATATATAAATTTTGTCTGATGTTATTATCTTTTTTATAAGAATTCCTAAATATTTCACTATAATTATTATTAATTTTCGTTAATATAATTATTCTTTGATATGAATATTTGTACGTTACTATTACTATCATCTTTCAGTTATTCAGACTGTTGGATAATTAGAGATTATTTTCAGTAAAAATAATAATAATTATTATTATTGATATTATAAATTATAAATATAATTATTAATATCTTGAATATACTTTTGGTAAAATAATAAAAAAGATATACAATCCATGCATGTGTGATGTAGAATACTGCAATCCAATTCTGATAGACAGAGTATAGCCATGTGTATTTCATGTGTGTATGTATGTATGTATGTATGTATGTATGTATGTATGTATGTATGTATGTATGTATGTATGTATGTATGTATGTATGTATGTATGTATGTATGTATGTATGTATGTATGTATGTATGTATGTATGTATGTATGTATGTATGTATGTATGTATGTATGTATGTATGTATGTATGTATGTATGTATGTATGTATGTATGTATGTATGTATGTATGTATGTATGTATGTATGTATGTATGTATGTATGTATGTATGTATGTATGTATGTATGTATGTATGTATGTATGTATGTATGTATGTATGTATGTATGTATGTATGTATGTATGTATGTATGTATGTATGTATGTATGTATGTATGTATGTATGTATGTATGTAT